CTTCTCTCCCATCGCCAAGCCGATCGCCGCCGCACATGTCGCTCAGCCGCTCGCAGCCGCGCTCGGCGCAACGCCGCTTGCCGCAGCGCTCGCCGAATCGCTGCTCGCCGCCGTGCTCGGCGCAAAGCTGCTCCCCGCCGCGCTTGGCGCGGAGCCGCTCGCCGCCGCGCTCGGCACTGAGATGCTCGCCGCCGCGCTTGGCACTGAGCCGCTCGCCGCCGCGATCGGCACTCAGCCCGTCGCCGCCGCGCTCGGTGCTGACCCGCTCGCCGCCGCCCTCGGCGCTGAGCCGTTCGCCGCTGCTCTCGGCGCTGAGACGCTCGCCGCCGCGCTCGGCGCTGAGCCACTCGGATGTGCGCTCGACGCTGAGCCACTCGCTGCCGCGCTCGGCGCTGAGCTGCTCGCCGCCGCGTCCAGCACGAAGCTGCTCGCCGTCGCGCTCGGAGCTAAACTGCTCGCCGCCGCGCTCGGCGCTTAGCTGCTCGCCGCCGCGCTCGGCGCTATGCTACCCGACGCCTCGCTCGGCGCTACGCTGCTCGCATGGCCGCGTGGTCTAACGTCAGACGGCTCGTGCCCGCAAGCTCGGTGTTTGCCTGCTAGGGAAAACGAGCTCCGTTCTAGCCTGCACGCCGGGGAGCTCGACCTAGGGCTGCTCGCGTTGGCGTGCTTGGCAACACCCGCCATATGCAGCGCGCCTACTCTCAGTTTCGCCTGCCTTACGCATTGGCGCAAATAGCCCTTTTCGAGGGGTACGGCTTTCGTGCCTGGTTGCCGCCCGGGAAAATGTGGCGCCGAATCTGTACCTATTCTATATTTCTAGTTTGCCTACTTACTCTAGGGCTGGCTCGGGGAGTCGGGCCGCCACACAACCAGCGCAAGCTGCAGCCACGAGTTATGACGAGGGGATGAAGCGCATTCTACGCTAGGGTGCTCTGCGTGGAGTGGCGTGCAGGGTTTCAGCTAGGATTTAGGGCTATCTGAAATCGGACAGGGTTCCAAAGTTTCGTCTGACCATCAGACGAAAAAATTCAAGGAGTCTGAGATTTCAGACGATTTTGTAACGCAAGTCTGAACATTCAGACGAAAAATTTGCTGCAAGAAACCTCGCGACTTGCAAATTCAGACTTCGATTTTTCCGTTTCCTTATTTCCTGCTGAGAGCCCGTTCCTACGAACGTCTTCCCAGACTTGGATCCGCCTACGAGCGCGTTCGAAGGTTCCTTGTCAAGCTAAAATCGTTTCAGTATCACAATTCTCAGCTGCTTCGAATCTGCTTGCATAAAAATTGTACTGTACGGATGCACGCCTGTCTAAAAAAGGCGCGCCCAAGAAGTTTGAAAACAGAGCCTGAACATTGACAGTCACAACCCTGTGTCAGACCACGCGAAACCGCATTGAACCGTTTTGCGTGGAAATTTTAAGGCACTGTAGCACGCGAGCCTGGGGAGAGACCCCAGGGCCTGCGCACTGTATCTGCCTACAGAACCAGGGCCTTGCTCTGTTTGGCCGTGAGATACTCGCACGTAACGTGACGTGTCACACACAAGCAACCCTCACAGGTAGACGGGGGGGAAGGGAGTGGGTGGGAGGGTCTTGACTCTTGAGCCAAAAATTCATGGTCTAGCTGTGAGGGACTTCATCGGAAAACATGGCTTGAGGGGTGTGTGGGGGAATGTATCTCGGAAAAAGGGTCTTAGTCGAATTTTCGGGGTTGTGTTTGGTGTTTAGAGCAATGTCTCAAAGGACGCCAAATTTTTATTTTTGCGAGGGGTACGTGGAGGAATATCTCTGGTCTGGAGGACTATGCCAGAAAAACTAGCAAAGAAACAAAATAGGGAGGTTGTGTAGGGGTGTGGGAGGAATGTATCTGGCACTCGGGGACTTGGCCGGAAAAACTCTTGGTTGTGGGGGACAGAGGCCGGGGGGGGGGGGGGAGATGGGGAGACGAGGAATGTATCAGACAAAAAAATCCGCGCTATCTGAATTCTCAGATGGAAGTCTACCCCTAGTCTGTACTTTCAGACGAAATATTATGGCTTATCTGGACGATCAGACGAATTAATTTGGCCCGTCAAAAAATCAGATGAATGAGAAAAAACAGGTCTGATTTTCATACCATCAGACCGATTTCGTCTGATATCTGAGACCCTGGTGGCGTGCCCTCAGCCCTTTGACCGTCGAGTTGTGAACCTAGGTCCAACTTGAAAATCGAGTTGGACCCATTTGAAACAGGCACAGACGTGCGGGCTGCCCTACCATCGCAGGTGAACGCTCCTCGCCTCAAGCGATGCTTTCGCCGCCGCGCTTATCTACGTGGATTCTTTACCCGTGTTTCTGGTTGGATGCTGCAGTTTTTGTTCCCGCGCACCAATCGCTGTCCTGCGCGGCTGTTTTCCCTCCTACCCGGGGGTAATAAGGAACAGTGACCCTGAACCCCCTCGCTACAAGGCTTGGTCCCTTAGAAAAAATCCCACACAACCCCCCTTTCAAGTTGGGCCCGCCTTCACTATTCTCCATTCTCGCTTTAACACACCGTCATTTTTTTTATGAATTATTACATCGACCATAGGGTGTTATATACGGGGGATTATGATACTACAAAAATGTAGGCCTGATTAGTCTCCTTTTTTTCTTTTTTCTTTTTCCCCCTTTAGCCTTACAAAACATGCCACGGCCCAAACCCGACCCTGAAAAACAGGGTTCTCACATGGGCGACCCTGAGAAATCAGCCTCCCTAAAACCAATCTGAGGCCCTGCATACAACGCAAAAAAACAAATCAACGGAAACCACAAACATACAATTCGTCGATTTAGGCTATTGGATAAATACAACGCAACCCTTTGCTGCTGTCCAAATCCTCGTAGCCAAACTGTACATCCGATTCTGGTGCTTTAGATTATGAAACCTTATTAACTCTTTAGAACATTCTTAACCAGCACGTTCCATGTTTGCACCTAGCCCATACCATGCATTCTCCATAATTTTAGACGAGTTTGAAACTTCGTGTTAAATGTTTCCGTAGTGCAGACTGTACACTCCTAGCGAGATGTACGGAACTGTGGCGTTTGTGTCGGCGCGGGGTTCTGATCTGACTCACTTGGCCGCAACCCTCGATACAGTAATCCCACTTCGAGCGAGTTCCTGCGAGCGTTCCAAGCAGCAGGTCACTCCCCTGCTGGTCAATGCCTGCCACCTCGCATCGCCGAGCGTGGCATAACCCGTTACCTGTGCCCACCTCATCACATCCCCACCACCACCTAAACCTTCGCCAGTTCGCTTGCTAGCGGTGGACAGGCTGCTCAGTCTTCGCAAGCCAGTCGTCAAACCTCGTGCAGCTGACGCCCGCCTGCTGCTAGCGTGGAACAGCGGCGACTTGTAGGTATGGGTAACCAGTCAGCAATTCACAGAATTAGCTGGACCCAATTGTGATTGTTCGCAAGTTGGCCACAGGAGAGAGGCGGAACTTATGGAGATCTCGAGTCGCGTCACTACCACTATGGCCCACCTCGCACCGCCCCTCTTCCCCACATGAATTTCCAATTTCCCACACAAGCAGGCAGGCCGTGGCAGGCAGACTAGGGCAAATTCATTTCGCCATTTCACGAGGACTCGAGTCTCATCTTTACAAAACCCCACAATTATTCGAACACAACCATCTCAGTGATACACCAGCAGCAGGAAAGTACTAACAACTGCAATCAGCAGCTAAGTCACTTGCTCTAACTCACTAGCCTCCCAGGTTCAGCTAGTCCGCGCGACCTTGATACAACAAGCGTGTGACTTTAGTCTATCACTTCTTCTGCAATGGAGTCCTCTAAGGTTAGCCTCTTCGTCCTTCTCGTAGCAGTCGCCTGCGCTCTGACCGCTGCGCAGTCTGAGCCCTACCCCGTCACCAAGGCGCGCATGACCCGCGCGGTCGCGATCGCCGCCGCATCGGACTTCCAGAAAGCCCAGGCCGTTGTCGCGCAGCGTGCGGACGAGCTGGGGGCCGCGAACGCCTCTGTCTCTGACGCTATCGCGGCGTACAACGACGCGCTACCCCTCGTGAACCGCCTCAAGGCGGCGCTTGCGCAGAAAATCACCTCTAAGAACCAGACCGCCGCGAACGTCCTCCAGCTTCAGGATGCGCTTAACGCGGCGGGCAATGCCGCGGACTCGGCTGCGTCGCAGAGCACGGACGTCGCAGAGCTCGCGAGCGCCGTGGACGACGCGAAGAAGCGCGTGGAGGCGACGAAGCAGCAGGTGGAGCGACAGAAGGAGTGGCTCCTCGACGCGCAGTCCGCCGTCATGCAGGCCGCGCAGGACGCCGCGAACCCCAACTTGACGGCGCAGGCGGCGGCCAGCGCGCAGGCTGCGGTGGCCGACAAGACGGCGATGCACGACCTTGCGAAGCAGATCCTCGCCGACATGGCCGCACAGGCGACCCGTGCGATGGAGCTGCTGGCGAGCCGCCAGGCGGCGCTGAACGACCCGTCGACCGCGCAGGCCGGCGTGGCGGACCAGAAGGCGGCGGCGGTGGATGCCAAGAAGGCGCTCGACGCGGCGGTGCAGGCGGACGCGGAGGCGGCGGCGGCGGTGACGGCGGCGCAGAACGACCTGGATGCGGCGCAGGCGTCAGTTCCCGGGAAATCCGCGGCGGTTTCGAACGCGAAGATCGCCGTGGGAAAGGCTCTGGTGGCGAAAAATAGCGCGGAGGCGACCGCTGCGGCGATGAAGTCGAGGATGGACTCCGCTTGGACTGTCGCTTACGCGGCGGAGGACGCGGCGAAGGCTGCTGGTTACAGCTGGAACTGGTGATCTAGTTCTAGCCGGAGTTGGCAAGCGAAAAGTGGAGAGAACCTCGACGACAGATGAGCGGGATAAACCTCAGATGCTGCACGGAGGATAGGAATATCATCCAGCTTGTGCTTGCATCCCAATAAATTATCCATGCTGTATCATCTCCTATATGTAATTTAGTTTAACGTGCGTTTTTTCATGAACTACAAACAAGGTTGTCAAATATAATTTGATACCGGCTTAGGAAAGGGCACAGACGATGAGGCACAGACGATGAGGCACGGACGATGAGGCACAGACGATGAGGCACAGACGATGAGGCATTTGACAGCGGCTAAGGAAAGGACATGATTTATTGGGACGCTATGCACCACGGGATAAGCTCCCATGTGCGGTGCGTCTGAGGTTTATCATTACTTTCGCAGTAAGTCCCGCAGCCAAAATTCGAGCCACTTTCGCTCACGAAAGTTACCACGTCCAAGTGTAACCAGCAGTCTTCGCAGCAGCCTCGGCCGATTGAGCAGTGGCTATAGCAGTGTTCATCTTTGTCTTAGCCGTCGCAGCAGCCGTATCCGCGCTCGTTTTCGCCGTCACAGCCTTGCTCTGCGCGATCTTGGCGTTACTCACCGCCGCCGATTTCGTCGGAATCGACGCCTGAGCGACAGTCACGTCGTTCGTCGCCTTCGTCACCGCTGCCGCCGCCGCGTCGTCCGCCTTCACCGCCGCATCCAGCGCCGCCTGCGCATCGTCAACCGCCGATTGCTGCGCGATGATCGCGGAATTCGCTGAGTCAGGGTTATCCAGCGCATCCTGTCGCTTCGCCAGCAACTGCTCCGCGCGATTCGCCTGTGCGATCATGTCGTTCAGGATCTGCTCTGCGAGCGTCTGCGTCGCAATCGCGTCCTTCAGCGCCGTCTGAGCAGCAGCGGCTTCCGTGGGCGAAAGATTGGTATTAGCGGCGTCCTTAGTCGCCTGCATGGCCGTCGACTGCGCGTCATAAAGCTCTTCCTTCTGCCCGTCAACTTGCCGGGCCGTCATCTCCACGCGCTTTTTCGCGTCTTCAACTGCAGCCTTGAGCGACGTGACATCCGAGCCGGACGCTGAGAGTTTATCCAGCGCTGCCGTCGCGGCGTCGAGATCGTCCTGCAGAGAGAGAATGCTCGTCGCGGTTTGGTTCTTTGCGGTGACTTTCTGCGCGAGGACGGTTTTGAGGCGGTTCACGAGTGGTAACGCGTCGTTGTATGTCGCCGTGGCATCTGCGAGGGTCTTGTTCGCCGCGAGGAGCTCCTGGGCACGTTGCGCGGCGAGCGCGTCGGATTTCTGCGAGTCGTTGGTGGCGTTGATGGCAGCTGCGCGCGTCTGACGGGCCTTCGTGACGAGAAACGGCTCTGTCTGCCCCGAGGCGTCGAGGACACTAGCGGTGGCGACGATGACCAAGAGGAGATAAAACTTGGAGGATTCCATGGCGACCTTTCGGCTAGAAGTCAGTACGCAGTGTTGTGTACTTCAGAAAGCGAGTGCTTCCGATTAATAATCACGAAATGCTACCGTGGGGGTGATTGGGATGCTGCGGTGGTAAGATGTACGTATTGCTCGAGTAGCAGAGGAGGCTGCTGTTGTTACTAATATCTCGTGGAGTTGGGATTTGTAGATGCGAGATAGTGTGGCTGTGCTACAGAATTTCGTCAGGAGGACTTGGTGCAGCAGCGCACTCCCACTTTGCCAGAGGTGAGTGACATTGCAACGCGGTCCGCCTGTGGCGCGACGCGACGCGGTTGGGGAGGGTTTGCCTTGCCCCTCCTCTCCAGCGAGGGCTTGTCTTGTTACTGTTCACGAGAGGAAGGATGGGAAGGCGAGAACTTTGCGAGTAGAGTAACCAGAAGACGACCCTCAAAACGCTTGAAGGCGAAATATAAGGTGTGCGACGACGATGATGTAGCACGCGAAAGCCGTGAAGTTACCTGATCCGCGCATCCCAGTCAACGAACTCGCTTCGCTTTCCGTACAGCTGTGCCCAACTGAGGGGATTGGCGGCAAGCATGGCGCAGCCACACTAGCAAGTGGGGCCTTGTGGGCATGACAACCAGCTGCGAGGTGCGTCGGCTTCGATTGAAGCATGCAATGATTTACCACGACCAAATGTTGTACACAAATTAAAAGGGGCTATTTTATTGAAAATTCAATGAATGTTGCAACGATATTGCTACTAGTATTTAGCATTTCATATATGAGAAGGGAAATTAAATGCCAAATTTTACGGCTACAAAATTATCAAAAGCTGGTTTCCAGAAGTATCGAATCGAGTTACTGACGAGAACAAGTATTTCCCAAACAATATTGCGCAGAGGTATTGTAAGGAAATTCCCTTTCCTTACTGGGCTCGACTACAGCGCGTACGCCATCGACTCTCGGAAGTCCAGGCTCGGCCAACTTCTTCGGTCCCGAACCACTTTGCGAACCCAAATATCGACGCGCAGCGCTTCCGTGGCTTTCGTCAACCGAATCGCCCCAACATGTTCGCGTGGTTCTCGGCTAGCTCTGTTCGTGCCTATAAATGCCTAGGCCCTCATTTGTATCGACACTCTTGAATCACGACTCCTTTATTACACTACCTGTTATTACTCTGATTAATTCATTACAGCTGGTATCAGAGCCCCGTTCTTGCCCGCTTAGTCTTCCGTAGCGTAGTCCGATTATATCGGGAGAGGACCCGACAGAATAGAGGGCTGGCCAGAGGTTGGTAGGCGAGCTCGTTAAAGCTCCTCCAACTAAAAGCGTGTGCACCCTCAGATCTGTCAGGTAAAATTTCCAGCATGACTAGCACGCCGGAAACCTCTGCCCATCGTAGTGTTAGGAACGTGACTCGGGAGGAGTTTGACGAGTTGCAAGTCAGAGCGGCTACAGTAACGATACTGCAGGCCCAGCTTCAACAACTCGCGGACAAGTTCGAGTCGCTGGGAAGCGAAGTTCAGACGCTGCGCAACGAAAACTCGTCGCTTCGCCAGACGCGGGGAGAAACGCGTCAGGGGCGGCCTGTTACCCGAGACGAAGATGATGCGAGCGAAGCGAGGGCGTCGGCGACAACTGAAGCATTTGAAGAAGTCCACAGCAAGCCGCGGGTGGCCATTATAATCAAGCCTCCAATGCCCCCACCGTTCAACCCGACTGACAGGACAACTACAGTGCGCGGGTGGCTGTTCGCCATGGAAATCTTCTTCACGGCAGCAAGTATTAATGACACTGCATGACGTGTCAACTTGGCTGTGTCGCTGCTGAGGGGACCGTCACTCGACTGGTGGCGCATGCATCTCGACGAGGGAGGAGCCCCGGCAGGGAATCAACGGGCGGCAGATGGGGAGATGAGTTCACCAATGGCGAAGGCAGAACCAATTTTTAGATCGGCCACGATCCGCACGTGGAAAGCGTTGGGCGAAGCGTTGAAAGGCAGATTCGAGCATATATCCATGCGCGAAAATGCTCGCACAAAGCTTCGGATGTGGAGACAGTTGGGCTCTGTCCAAGAATAAACAGCGTCGTTTCTGGCAATCTGCGACCAAATCGGAGGGATTAGCGAGGATGAAAAAATTGATCGCTACGTGGGTGGTCTCAAGCCGGAGATTCAGCAAGAGATCGTCCTGCGAGCCCCGACGACCTTCAACGAAATTGTTCGCATAGCAGACACGCTGGACGCATGACGTGGACTCGCGAGAGCGGGTTTCCGGGAGGGAAATCGCTTTCGAGGCCAACCCCAACACACATCAATCAACGGCAGGGACGTTTTCGCAGCCCGAGTATTTTAGGGGACCTGCTTCCACTGCAACCAGCCGGGTCACATGGTGAGGGACTGCCTGCAGCCAAAGAAGAACTTACGTAACGACAGTAGCCGATGGGCCACCTACTGACTTGACTGCGTCGCCCAAATGCCAACACCCCCACCAGGTTATAGTGTCAATTTGGGCTATCGACCATTCCTGGCTGAATAAGGGGGGTGAACCAGTTGATCACCCTGTGCTGGTTGAAGGGAGAGTTGGCGACACCCGCATCAAAATATTCGTCGATGGTCGGGCAAGCCACAGCTTGATGGACGTGACGAAGGCGAATTAATTGCGACCGCAACTGGAGCGCTGCATGCCTGGGATCAACGCGCGATTGGTCGACGGCACACCACTGGCAATCCGAGAGCGAGTACCTCACTTGCGAGTAACATGCGGTGAAAATTTCAACTTCACAACGAAAATTCTGGCGATAACTTTGGACGGCTGCGACATGCTGCTGGAACGCGATTGGCTGCACGAATACAACCCGAGCATCGATTGGAGGACGGGCGATTGTCGCATCAAATGGAGTGGCGAGTGGCGACGACTACCCAAGTGGAGCTGTCAAGATTCGACCACATCGACGGTCAGCGCAGTAACGATCAAGCGAGCTATGATTCGAGGGGCGCAACTGTACGCCGTCCACTGGATCGCATCAACGGCTGTCGACACGCCAACCGACATCGACAAACTCTGCGCAGCTGTCCCGAACAATTTGGCAACCGTCATTCGCAAGCACGCCGACATTTTTCCAGACGACCTACCGGCAGGTTTGCCACCTGAGCGAGACCACGACCACAAAATCGAGATGGACCCCGGCGCGCAACCGACTGTTCGGACTCAATGGAGGCTGACTCAGCCCGAGCTCGATGAACTTCGACGCCAGCTGGATTACCTGCTCAAGAAAGGTTTCGTTCGCCCCAGCACTTCCCCGTTCGCAGCCCCGATCCTGTTCACCCCGAAGAAAGATGGCGGTCTACGAATGTGTATTGACTATCGCGCCCTGAATCGGGTTACCATCAAGTCCCGCTATCCTATCTCGCACTGCCAAGTGCCCTCCCTCACACTACCCCCACGTGCTGAGCAACGAATTTGGTGAAGGGCCAATAAGCGCCCTCACAGAGCCCAGCGGGCGGGCCAGAACCAGAATCTCGGAAATATCTGCAGGCCCCCAGGTTACGCATTGACGGAAACAGGTACAGTTTCGTTGCAAAGCTGAAATTTCAGGATTCGTTAAGAAAACTTTGCTCAGCAATCAGAGTTGACCCCCCAAAAAAGGCTGAAAAAATAGGAAATGCCTTTAAAAAAATCCAGGACAATCAGGACAGGTGCCAGCAACAACTTAGATTTTTTCCTGAATCAGGAAAAGTTTCCTGCAATCTAGGGGCCTGGCTACAAGGGTTTTTTTTTTTTTTTTTTTTTTTTTTTTGGAATATGTTTAAAAGTACGTCAAGGTTCTCTCAGAACCGCATTTAATTTTGTATTAATTTCAGTACAACAAATCTATTAGATCGTGTTCCTACAAGCCTCTTCCCAAGCAACCTCTTCCCAGAGCCGCGTGCTAAAGCGTCGCAGATTTTGACGCGAAATGTTTCAGTGCGATTTCGCGAAGTGCGAAGTGAGATTCGGCTTCCGGAGTTTCAGGGGCGTGTTTTAAAACCTCTTTTCAGACGAGCAGATTTTCAGACAAGCGAGAATCTGCACAGTAAAATTTCGACGCCAGCTGGTTTGATGTGGTTGAGAGCGATGGAACGCAAATATGAAACGGAAGTTTCCGAAAAGTGGTCCTGGGAACACGCTCTAAAGTTCACGCGTGAGTCTGGGAAGAGGTTGCCTGGGAAGAGGCTCGTAGGAACACGCTCTTAGAAGTCTGTCGGTTGTCTTTTGATTTTTTCAACACATGTATTTACCGGAAAAGTTTTTCGCCGATACTGTCAACAAATATAATTGTCTATGCTAGGTACAGTACATTTGTTATAGCCTTAACTAGGTCAGTTCTTAGAGGGTACATTCCCACCTTAGTAACCCTCAGCCTTCCTCCCTTCGTCACTTTTCTCTCGACATTCTAACATGGCATCTAGAGCTAGGTCTCGCCCTCTACTCACGCTTCCGCCATAGCACACCCTAGCCTAGCACGCCTCACCCCTAGTTGCGCGCCTTGTAGATCGTCCCCTCCCCGCCCTCCTCTGCTCGTCGCGTAGCTCGTGTCGGCTAGCGCCAGCCGCCACCAGCTAGTGCCGACCAGCGCCAGCCGCCGCTAGCCCGCACCACATTGGCGCCTTAGATAGTCGCCGATCGCCCCCCCCCCCCCCCCCCCCCCCACCCCCCGCTCGATCGTAGGTTGTCCCTGACGCCAGCGCCAGCCAGCACGCCAGCTCGCCAGCGCCAGCTCACCTACGTTAGCCAGCACCAGCTCGCCAGCGCCAGCTCGCTAGCATTAGCTCGCTAGCCCTTGCCAGCAGTTTGCCGCCAGCGCCAGCTAACCAGCCCCCAGCTCGTGCCAGCTAGCTCATGCCAGCTAGCTGCTAGCCGCCAGCGCCAGCTTGCCAGCGCCAGCAAGCATTCACAAGCACCAGCCAGCTAGCCAGCGCCAGCTTGCCAGCTGCTAGCCGCCAGCGCCAGCTCGCCAGCTGCTAGCCGCCAGCGCCAGCTCGCCAGCTCCTAGCCGCCAGCTCGCCAGCTACTAGCTGCCAGCTGCTAGCCGCCAGCTCGCCAGCTGCTAGTCGCCAGCGCCACCTCGCCAGCTGCTAGCCGCCAGCGCCAGCTCGCCAACTGCTAGCCGCCAGCGCCAGCTC